GTTTTATAGCAAAAACTCCCTACACTAACATAGCAGTAAAGTTAATTATGTTAGAATGTACGTCATACATAAGGCAATATAATTTATATAAGATGCACGATTATAACATTTTCAGACAAGATACTTTTGCGGAGTGATGCCGTGCAAAATGTATTATGACATTATTTAATGTTGATGAGCCATTTGAACTTGTATATGTAGAAACCTAAGTGAAAATATAGTATGTATAAATATATATATATATATAGATATCTATAAGAGTTTATTATAATTTTTGAAGTATCATTGTAATTTCTTAAAGTGTATAATAGAAAAAATGTCGAACAACCTCGCTTGCTAATAGCTCGGCCTCTGAAGGGGCCACAGAATATCACTGTTGGGACATTAGTCCCAACGTAGCTGAGTGGCTTCCTTTTCGGAGGCAACTATATTGGTGTATTAATTTAATATTTCATTAAATTTGTATGTTTGTAGAATAAGTTTTAACTGTAAATGTAGATTTGTCGTTTGTGTGTTGTTTCTGAATAAACGTATTTCTATTCTATTCTTCTTCTATTCTAAGCGACAGATAGGTCATGGTTGACTTAGATCTACATTTGACGAAGTTCGCATTGTGAGTACTCGTTCGTTCTGGTTCGTCTCAATTTTAGCCTCTTACATTTTAGATACATTAGTTCATTTATACCAATATAAAAAGCTGAAGAGTTTGTTTGTAGGAGCTACTCTCAGGAACTACTTGTGCGAATTTGTTTGCGTTGGTTTGAAAATTTATTGAGGAGGCTTAAGCTACAAAACATCGCGTTGCGAATAATAGGAGCGGAGAGACAGCGAGAATAGTGAAAAAATCGGGGCAATCATTTATCTTTATTGGTTATCCTTTTGTACGCAGCGAAAACAGTTCAAAATAAAATACTGTCTATAGTTTACGCGAGTAGTACACATTTAAATAAAACACTTTAACGGTTTAAAACGCGATATATTAGTTAAACTTATTTAAAAATGATTTTTAACTTCGGCCCCACGTTTCGGTAGCTTTGCAGCAGCCGTGGTCACGGGGAGACTGCTGCAAAGCAAACTGTTAATGTGTTTTTATTTAAATAGTTCAAAATATCAAAAAAAAATGTTTACATTTTCTTTTTGATATTTAAATGACCCCTTTTAAAATGATATAAAAAAATGTCCACAACACTATATGCCTATTTTTTAAGATTAACTTGCAAGAACGACGGGACATGACCGACATCATGGGTAACAGCTTACATTTATAAAGATCAAGGGGAGGTTTTCAAAACACAAATTTTGAAACCCAAAATTCTACGCGAAGTTGCTGACACACCTGGTAATAAAATTCGCTCGCTTAAACTTCTCCCGAAGTCATGCCTCAAACAATCTATCATTTCAAAAAAATACAACGCAAAAGCCACAGCGCTACCGTCTCCGCACGCGAAAGCAGATTATCCAATTGAATATCCATAATATTGGTTTTTAGGATAATAACTGGACATCTGTAGCGGGACGGTCTGCGACCACAACGTCACGTCATGTCCGGCGGTCACTTGACCGCAATATCTTTTCGTGCTTTTGAGAAACGGCGAAATTGATATGAGTTTTTTGCATTTAAGCCTCTCAAATTACACGACAAAGGCTTTTGATGTGACAGCTCGTCTCTCGGTTTATTAGCGTTTACCCGACTGAACAAAAGAGTATTTATCGTTATAAATGTTTTTGCAGCTACAGACAATTATAATTTTAAAATATTTTATCTATCCTCTAAATTTTTACCGAAGCTCTTATTAAACTAACTAGAGCTCTTTACTAAATCCTGTGAAAAGATAATTTTAAGCTTGTGTTAACATGGTTTTAACCTTGAAGACCAAATATCTCAAATTTCATCTCCTCCTTGATATATTTTTGCCTTCCCTTGTTATCCAATACAAATATTTTTTTAAATTTAAACCATATTTGAATTCATGAAATTAGCTCTTCAAACAAACCCTTCGTTTTATATGTTGTAAATATATTAATTAATAATACCATAAATGCTGTTAGTTTACGGAGTATATTAAATAAAACACTTAACGGTTTAAAACCGATATATTATTAAATTATATGAAAATATTTTTACGACTTTGACAGAGACAAATGTCTCCGTCGAAACTCGGGTTGAAGTTAAAAATTATTTTATAAGTTTATATAGTTTTAAATTTAAAATTTTTATTTAAATACATACCAATATTTATTTGTAAATTGTAATAATTTTTTTATACTAAATTTCCTTTATATAATGCTACACGCTAGCTCAGTTGATAAGAGCACAGGACGTAACGTGGTCGTGGATTCGAGTTCCGTCTGTGTCATCAAATAATCTTAAATTATAATAGATTTTGAATAAATCTGTCTAGAGTTATATAAAAGTGTTAGTAGATATTTTAATAAACACTACACTAATACCACTATTAATAGTACACTACTTATTAATAGTGGGTACTACAAATACTACGTAAAAACGTTTGGCATACAACATATTTTAAAATATCAACAGAGGGATGCGTTCCTTGCGGTCACATACTGCATCCCATAATTTGCCCTTTTAAGTTCAATAAAGCTCTGATGTAAAAAAAAAAAAAAAAAAAAAAAAAAAAAAAAAAAAAAAAAAAAAAAAAAAAAAAAAAAAAAAAAAAAAAAAAAAAAAAAAAAAAAAAAAAAAAAAATAAAACCCCCCCCCCCGGGGGGGGGGGGGGGGGCGGGGGGGGGCGGGGGGGGGGGGGGGGGGGGGGGCCCCCCCCCCCCCCCCCCGGCGAAAAAACCCCAAAAAAAAGCGGTTAAAAAACCGAAAAAGTGTCAAAAGTGTATTGTTCGTTTCTTTTGCCTTTTGTTAAACTACAAAGTATAAGTTAGGGAAATCAATCGTTTTCACCTCATTTAACTTCTTAGCTTGATCCATCTTTCCCAAATGCTTCGACCCGTCGCTCAGTACAAATTTTGTTGGTTTTTTGCATTAGCAATATGTGTTGTCTATAGTTTACGCGAGTAGTATACATTTAAATAAATCAGTTTAATTGTTTAAAAACGAAATAATATATTAGTTACCTTATTTAAAATTTATCTTAATGCTTTGCAGCAGCCGTATTTGTCCCGCCCGTGACTATGGCTGCCAAAATTTACCATAATTTAAGGTTATATATAGCGCGTTAAGTATTTTATTTAAATTTAGCTATATGTTTAAAACTACCAAATCAAATATAGCTTTTCTTTTTAATTAAAGACGTCTTAGCAAATTTTTATACATAGATGTATAGTGGTTCTATTTCTCAGGGTATCTGTATTTTTACCAGTAACGCCATCTTTACTAACACTCGGGCACTAAAAACTAAGTAGCGTCGGCAAAGAAAGTATCTGTTTTGATTAAAATACAGTCATAAATTACAAAAAATGTAGTAAGTAAACCTTTGTAATATAAATGTCTTTAAAAGTTTAAAAACTCTACCGATACTTCCGTTTCGATAAGTAATTACAGGAAAAGCGCCATCTATGATTCAGTAGTAAAACTACATGGGATAGCTGAAACCTCTTTCATGTTGTTTCTAAAGATAGAATATAGATGGCACTAAGTACAATAGCAAATCTATTATTTGGATAAAACTTGATGAAGAATTAATGTTAAATTTCTAAAAAAAAAACAAAGTATATTTATAATCTGGTTTATTTGACCTAAAATAAGTATCACTTAAAACAATAAAATGCATTAAATGTAATGTACATTTACATTGAATACTTGTTATAGACAAATTAAGTAAAATACATCACTTCAATAGTTCAAATCTAAAATGTGGGAAATGCAAAACATCATTATATATGCAATGTATTTTTCCAATTTTAGTCTTGATGAATGTACTTTGCCTAACCTAACATGACATAGGAACTTATTTTGTAAACAGAAGTAAGAAGTATACCACGTTTTAGTGTAGTAATAGTACATCTGTATAAACTTCATCCATGATTTTTCTAATTCTGATGAAATAGCGACTGTCCAAAAGTAATAACATGTTTTAAAAAACTTTTGCACATCAAACCATAGCAATACAAATCAATGTTTATGCAGTTACATTAATTAAAACACTTTTTAATGGTGTCAAATACAAATTGAATACAGTATCTATGGCTGATGGAGAACAGTTCAGTGTTTTATTTAAACAAAACTAATTTCACCGTTATTTAAGGTCACTCTGAACAAGTAGTTATTACAGTTAGGTCACAAATTAATGTGACATCCAAATATAAAACTAAATGCATAAGACTATAAAAAATGCAAGTATACAAGCACAATTATAATACAAAAAAAAATTCATAAATGTTTAATATATTCGACAAGAAAAATTCAAGAGTGACCATAGATCGAACAGGTAAATCTATTTCATTGTAATGGAAGCAAAGTCTATTAATAAACAAACATACATTTTGTGACACCTAAAGCAACATTAGGAATTTATTAACGGACTTTTAAGACAGGAGAATGTTACAAAATGTATATTTCAAGTGTAAACTTATTAAGTACCTTTTTACATTGATCACTGGATTTAACAATTACTGTTCACTTTTTGACTGTGTAAATTTACACTGTAGCGTAGAGGTGTGGAAAGGTCAGCTAACACTTACAGTTAACTTAAAACATTTAATTTTGTCCATTAAAGGTAGAGCCAAGTCCGATCAGTCAAAGTACTATACATGTAAGCCTACGAGGCTGATACTTGGCACAAAAGATTTAGAAGGAAAATTAATATACAATTTTAAGTACAAAGTCTTATGACTTATATATAATACCTATTTTCCATAAAACATTAGTAAGTTTAAAATAAGTAAATATTTTTCACATTCGGACCCTCACTTTATAACTGTGGCTTGGTGTAGTTATTAACTGACCTTTCCCATCCACTACTATTATAATCACGTCACTTTAATATCACTTCTACACTTTTCACTTCACTTAAACACTTTCTCACTTATCCAAATAAGTTTTTGAGGTCATGTTCATAGAGGGCAATGACCAGCATGATTCCAATGCCAGTAGCGAGCCCCATCAACTGCAAGAGGCATTGGCACAAGGTGCCTTCTTTGCTGTGTGATGTGCTGAGCTCGGGCATCTAGAAATAAATTGTATGAGATAAGTGAAATTAAGTTTTTCATAATAATAATTTACATATAATTTTTTTATGTTTATGATATATTTAGAAGATGTTCACTGACTGAATAATCCTAGCAACATGAAATTTGGCTCCTACTACAGAGAGATTTACTAATTTTTTTTTCTTTAGGCACACAGATTAAAGCCTGAGAATCTCACCCAATTCCCTTATCTATACAATATACTATAAAGCTGAAGAGTTTGTTTGTTATAATATAATATCGATATGTAAGGCCCTATACCATACACCCTGAGTGTTAGGCAATTAATTTACGAGACAGGGACGTTATATCCAGCCCGCTGACAGTGTAGACTGATCACCCACCCATCTATAGGTGTCCCCAAAAATAACAATAGTTTATCCAAGTCGTATAAACTATTTACTAATAAGTCAAAAATATACCATATCAACGAGGGCGATATATAAAAAGGTCCCAGCAGCTACAGCAAAGAGCCATCTGGTAGCTGATGGTGCATGTCCGGCCAAAACCCCACAAACCATACCGGCCAGACAAAGCGCAGACGACAGGATATTGTAGCAGACCGCTCGTTTCACAGACATACCGGCTTTCAACAGGACAGCGAAGTCGCCTGAAAATGTAAATATGAACCATGAGTATTTCTGGTAAATATTTTGGATCTCGATCTGAATTTATTTATACTCTAATGTAACAAGGAAATAATAAATATTTCAGGATAGCAGGTTCAATTAGGAAAATAGTCAATATTGGTACAAATATAGTAAAGCTACAAGACAGATTGCTTCCAAGAAAAGCTTTTACCAAAATTAGATGTAATGTAGGTCAAGCTTCGCGGCGTCTGGCTCAATACAAACAAAGTCAATTTAAAGATAACAGTGATTTTACTCGATACTAACAAAAAAACCTACGAATTTTAGGAGTTAAACTACTTACCCAATTCGTGTGGTAATTCATGGCATAATACTGCTATTGCTGTGGAAAATCCACCGGCAATGTTCGATGCGAACGCTGCACCTGTGATTTTATTAAGGAATGTGGTAACTTCTCTATTGTGTAATTATTATGAACATTCAAATAAGAAAAAAATAAATTTAAGTTAACGATATACAGTATAAACAAATGGTGGACTAATACCGAACCCTGCACTACACTCTACCCTAAACGGTATTATACTGAAGTTGTTGTAAGTAGACGAACTACTTTTTAAAATTCTGGAAGCGAAGCGTAACTCTTGTTTCTAAGTAACCACTAACGTTGTACATGCCATGGTAGTTAAGACAATTGAAGTTTCGAGAAATTAGATATTTCTCTTCCAAAATAACAAACAATGTATAATTACAAGATGTCTTCATTGTACTAATACGATTCGTTGATAAGACAATTTACCTATTGCCATTCCATCTGTAAAGTTGTGAAGACCATCGCCCATAATCACCATCCAAGCTACTGAAGACATGGAAGATGGTGGTGCATGCACGTGACCATGAGCATGAGAATGACCGTGGTGGGCGCGGGAGTGTTCTCTGTAATCATAAACATTATTATATATTAGTATATCTTTCCCAACATCCATGGTATCCCAGACCATAGTTAAACAATAAATTAGTTAAATATACTAACCTCAAAATAACAGTATAGCTATCTCCATCCTTCAAGTCCTTGACGCCATCCTCCTTGTGCTTAATATTATTCATTTCAACCACCGCCGGTGCTTCGCCTTTCAACAACCAGTCCTTAGCAGTCGGTTCCTTATCTTTGTCATTCAGCGCGTTAGACGAGACAACGCTGACGCTATTTACCTTGTTAGCTTTAGGACTGGGTGGAACGCCGTCTCTCATATGATGCTCGTCGTGGGTGTCCGTGTCTATTTCGTCATAGCAGTACGGGTACTCTGAGTACTTGTGTTTGCACGTTTTCGTCGTTGGATCGCCCTTTTCGTCCCTCTTAAAGATTTTCATTAGGGAATTCGAGGTAGAATTGGAAATGGGTGCTTTAGCACCACCAGAACAACCTCCAACCGTTTCGTCTTTGAGCACACGGACCCTGGGAGGTAGTTTGTCTTCTTCGAGCTTCTGTCTGCGCTTTCTCCATTCCACCACGACGGTTAGACCCTTTTCGGTGAAATAGAAGAACACGACGCCCATCATGGCCGCCAGGCCTTTCCACATGCCGTCGTCGTGCGACGTTCTTGTATCTAAGGCGGTTCCTTCTTCGTCTTCTATGGGGCTCATGGCGTGTGGCATCAAATGCAACAGCGCGTCCCCGCACAGTGTACCCACCGCTAGCGCAACTAGGAATTGCAGTAAATGATTATAATAAGTCTTATGCATAATAGGAATGACCGCGACTCCGAGTAAACCGCACGCGCTGATCGCAGTTATACTTAAACACGAGTACAACCACACAGTGAACATGTTTTTGGAGTAGGCGCTCTCTCTCTTATCCCGCATTCTGAGGGTAGTTTGAAATTTTGTGTCTAGAACGCAGCCCCCCCTTTCTATAGAGGAATTTGCGACTTTTTGGTATAGTAGGATAGGACATATCGCCTGCAAAGTGTCCTGGGATATGAGATTCTCTGTGTCGTGATCACTGTGATCGTGGTGACCGTGGCCGTGGTCGTGATCATGTGATTTTAATTTACTATTCACTGTTGTTATTAGTTCTGAACTGCTTACACACTGAAACAGAAAGAAGAATTCATTTTTACATACTAAGTACGTACTACTATTAGTTTTAAGTTATCATAAGAGACTGTACTGTTTAGTTTCCTTAGTAAATAAATAAAAAAATAAAATATGTATTGTTTGTAAACTTATTTATATTGCTGAGATATATGATGCAATTCTCTTGTCTCAGACTTAGAGAATGGTTAGTCTCTACTCACTTTAACTTCGTGATCCATCGCCCCCCGCTGATCGTACATATAATCCTTATTCTCTATTTTCTGTACACCACCTTCGACCATCTTGTCTAGCTCCAGCCACTTGAGCATTCTGTGAAACCCTGTCATGTTCATTGTCATCGACCCTGCGTCACCGTACAACCTGGAAAGTAAAGATATAACACTTAATTAGTTTCAAATATAAAACTACCTTCTTTTAAATATCTTTGTTTTTGGTTCAAAAGAATATATCGATATATTCATCATCAGATCCTCTAAATTAATTTAGCTTAAATACCTTACGCGAGTAGTACAAATTTACATAAAACACTTTGACGTTTTTTAAAGGCGATGTATATTAGTTAAACTTATTTGAAAATTATTATAACTACGGCCCGGTGTTTCGCATGCTTTGCAGCAGCCGTGGTCACGGGGAGACTAAAGATGGAGGGTGTCTCTAATGTCAAAGTAAAAACTGCTACGATCTCTTCCGTTATAGTCGGTATTTGGCGACACACGGTATGCTGTTTTTTTGGAATCCCAGGTGTTTGATAACTTCACTTTCTCCCTATTGAGGTTTAGAACACAAAAATTTAATATAGCTTACCTAAATATCTGTTCAACATAGCTGCTCGGATTAACTTGAACCTCCCGTTTGTGCCTCAGCCTCTGCCTCTTGTCTATGCTCGTGTCGAACGCATGCTCGATGCGCTGCGGCTCGTACGCTCGCACGTCCGTATCACTTTGTATGTCCACATGCGATCCGCACGTGTGCGCCGCGCACAAGAGGCAGAACATGCACACTGTCACCAAGTTTCTCGCCATTGTCAACTGTTCATATCTTGTTCGATCTGTGGACGATAGATCATTAATTGTGGTTAATTTTATAAAAAAAGAACTGCATTTACAAAAAACAATATATGTTTAATCCTCCTATACGTCAAACCGCGATGTTTTATAGCCAAAGCCTGGATAAATGCTCTAACCGACAGAAAAGTATTTTTTCAATATGAACCAGTAGTTCCTGAGATTAGCGCGATCAAACAAACAAACTTTATAATATCAGTATAGATAGCCTACTACTATTTTTATTTTAGTCTGTGTATTTAAAGCTCAAAAACTACTTTACAAGAGGACAGTGTTGCCTATTTGGAAAACCAAATACATACTTATATACACTGTCATACTAGCTATTATATAAATACTGTCTGTAGTTTACGCGAGTAGTACACATTTAAATAGAACACTGTAACCGTTCAAAACGCGATATATATTAGTTAAACTTGTTTGAAAATCATTTTCAACTTCGGCCCGACGTTTAGAAATTTCAAATAAGTTTAACTAACATATATCGCGTTTAAAACAGTTAAAGTGTTTTATTTAAATATCTATTATATATGCTAATATAGACGCGTACCTAAATTTCTCGTATTACTTGAAACGTGTCAAATAACGTTAAACAAAAACAAAACCCCATGACCGTAGCGAATTAACGGCGACAAGTGTCTCCTAGCGAGTAACGTTCAAAGGATATTAAACAATACAATGAAAATTGGCTAAGATATTGGTTTGAACGCGCTAGAAATATTTACAAAGGCCACTGAATATACTAAGTTAAATAAGAAGAAGGAAAATGTGTGACTGACAGCGGACGAGCGTCGTAGATGAATGAATAGAAGGATTTCTTAGTCCAAATCCTAACATATAAAGTTGAAGAGTTTGTTTTTTTTAAACTTTAATATTTTTTGAACATAAAGGCACTCTATAATTTAAAAATCGAAAATAAATTTAAAAAAATTTCGACTCGGGCAGGACGAGCAACAGCACGGTGCGCTGACGATGCCGGTTCAAGTCCTGCCCGAGTCGAAAACTTTTTCAGTTTATTTTCGATTTTTAAATTATAGAGTTTGTTTTTTGTTTGAACGCGCTAATCTCAGGAATCACTTGAACGTTTTTTATGTTAGTTAGAGCATTTATAAGGCTATAAAACATTGCGCTGCGACTAATAGGAACGAAGAAACAGTGGGAAACGTGGAGAAAACGAGGGAAATAGTAGAAAGTGAAATACGCCAGCCATATAAAATCAAAACCAGATGTGCCGTCGACCTATGGCTATGGAAAATTCTTATACGTTTAATAGCGTACCAATACCAAACATAAGTGTTTGGCGGACCTCGTAAATGGGCTACTGCGCCTAACGTCGAACCTTTGGCATTTGCATCATGCCATCCGCGATATCACCAACCGTACTAAGGTTACCCGAACCTCAATTACACGCGCAAGAACGCTATTAAAACTAGAACGTGTCAAACGAAATACTTCATAGGTTTCTGTTATTTATAGAATGTACTGATTCATTGCAGATATGGTATTTCAATAAAATACCACTTCCCATCTGTTTTACGCGTAAGCGACTTCTCAAATTAACTAATCGATGACAAATACTGTCTGTTGTTTACGCGAGTAGGACCTCCACTTAAATAAAACACTTTAACGGTTTAAAACGCGATATATATTAGTTAAACTTATTTTCAAATTATTTCGAACTTTCGTTTCTAATTTTCAAATAGTAGTGCACATTTGTATATAACACTTTAACGGTTTAAAACGCAATGTATACTAGTTAAACTAATTTGGAAGTTATTTTAACTACGGCCCAACGTTTCGGATGCTTTGCAGCAGCCGTGGTCACGGGGAGACAGTCGGAGACCACGACTGATGCAACCTGCATTATGGTTTTTTTTAAAATACTCGATGAAATTTTTTGACACTAAAAACTTTTATAAAAGTGAATTCCCGTTTCTTCAAACGGGGCAAACACATTTCTGTGTCCGATTCACTTAAACGTTTTATTTACAGGCAAGTAGTTAATCAGACATCTGTCCTCTGCCCGATCAAAATGTATTGTTTCCCCAGGATTCGAACCTCTCGCGTTTAACGCGAAGCAACGCTTCTCGCTTCGTTTATCTATTTAGCTACAGATCCACTCTAGGTCTGAAAACCTTTAAGTACAACAAAATATGACTTATATTCTACTTCAAGCTGGTACGTGACAATATCTCACTAATAAGTCGAAAGAATCCCACGTCCCCATTGATTGGCGTGAGTAATCATGTAAACACCGTCGCGTTTTTCGAAAACACCGGAAGCGTACACGACGAAAATATCAAAATAAGATTAGGAATTATTTGCTAACGATGTAATGCGCGATAAAGGGACAACGCTCATATTTACGCGAAAAGTTATAAATACTTTTGGCGAAAACACCTTGTGACCGGAAGCGAATACGATAAAGTTTTCTACTTAATCTAAACTTAGTACATGCATTGTTTGCATAGAATGCTAAATAAAACTTTACTAGAGGCAGAGTGACCTAATAACAAAAAACATAACTTTCATAAGGGAGGAAATTAACTTAGGCAATAATTATTTTGTGTAAAATTATGTTAACAATTTTCCATCACTGTGCTCTTGTAGATTAAATTTTTAGACTATGTAAAAGTCCAAGTCCAAAATTTGAGTTAGGCTACTCTGCCTCTAGCGGCCTAATGTGTAGCTGTATTGTATGTATGTATCAGTAGAAAGAATTCTGGTAAGATCATCAAAAATTTCGTTTTTAACCTTGGGGCCAAAAAACCCCCCTTGCCTTTGGGTTTTAAAAAAAAAAAAGGAAAAAAAATTTGTTTTTGAATTAAATTTGAGACCCCCCCTCTTCGGACCCCCGTGACCACGGGTGCTGTAAAGCATCCGATGGCACATAATGATTAAAATACCTTAACTAATATATTTCGCGTTTAAAACCGTTTAAAAGTTTGCAGCGTACGCCTCGGACGGAAACCCACAATGATAAATATTTTTCGTCGTTTTCTTTGACATTTCGCACTGCATGTTCGCTTGTATTAGTCACGGGCGATGTTTTATATCTATAGCCTTCCTCGATCAATGCTCTAACTAACAAACTCTTCATATTAATATAGATATGGTATGCAATAACAGATCCTTATAAGGAATTCTCATTCTGTCATATCTTTACTCAGGTTTCGCCAACAGTGATGTAACTCTAGTACATAGCATCGTATTAGGCGTGATATGAAACGCCAGGCATAAGGGAATTGATATAGGATTATTTATATCAAACCGTCGTTTGTTTTGTCACTGCTTACAATTAAAATAAATAATATAAAAAGTACTAGATTATTAGTCTTGAATTGGTAGAAGGGGAAGAAATATTGAGGAATTTTCGCTACATGCAAAGGTTGCCTGGAAGAAATAACCAAAGGCGATAAGGCCGCTTTTGCACAAACATTGTTTTGTATATTGTAAATATGTTTATTTCAGTGTAAATAGTGGCATGAAATCAGAAATATTATTATTTAAATAAAACCTTAATGGTTTAAAACGCGATATATTTTAGGTAAGCTTATTTGGAAATTATTTGTAACTACGGCCCGACGTTTCGGATGCTTTGCAGCAGCCGTGGTCACGGGGAGAAATGTGTACTATTGGCGTAAACTAGACAGTATTTACTATTATTATTCTAGAAGATATTTTACCGCGTCTGTAGGCATATGGTTAAACGTCGCCCCGCATGACCCCGCGAAGCCTTATAGGTACACATAGAAAGGTTGTAGGAAGGAAAATGGGGACATTTGGTTTCCTTTTAGCAATCAATCCTTTATCATTACATAACTTTTTTAAATATATTTATGTTTAAATAAAACACTTTAACGATTTAAAACGCGATATATATTAGTTAAGCTTATTTGGAAATTATTTGAACTACGGCCCGACGTTTCGGATGTTTTGCAGCAGCCTGGCGTGATAACGGATGGACCACGGTTGCTGCATGCTGCGTTAGAGTGTTTTATTTAAATGTGTACTACTCGCGTAAACTGCGTGAAGAAGTTGCGTAATATCTGCATTACTTTATGACAATAACACCTATTATCTTTTTTATTCTTATATATTGCCAGCTTTATAACGCTTTATGCCAAACAGTGATAAGCAATAAGTCCTTTGTTCGAACAAACACAGGGTACCAATACTGTAAACTAGACTTACAACGAATATACTATTCGTCTGTATGTTGAAGGTGTTCGGTGAGCCCCCTGAATAGCCGAATTGACGGTTTAAAACGCCAAATATATAAATTAAATTATTTGACGCCTAGCAGCAGACGTGATCGCAGGTGGGCGGGGGGGAATAGTTAAAATAAATCATTGTAAATACTAATACATTTCGCGTTTTAATCCGTTAAAATAGTTTTATTTGAATGTGTCTTTAATGTTATTAATAATTAGCGACAAACATGTTTCTTGAAACTCTAAAATAGCATCCTATCCATCAGTGTCACGCGTAAATTATTTGGAACACGCTGTATATCAAAGTGTGCGGTTATCAAAACAAAATGTACCTACTTGTAAATAAAGCCTGACGGCAAGCATTGATAAGCACTGTTCGGATGATCGATAGGGTTCGTTGCGCGCCGTTGCAATGCTATGAAGACTATTCTGCGCACGCGGCGTTCGCGTTGCATTGTTACATAATGTTTTTTTGCTTATTGTTATACAATGCTAAAATTTATGAAAGTCGTACAATATCATTTTATTTTCTATCAAATAAGATCTGGGGTGGGGGGCATTGAAAGAAAAATCCCTCTCCTCTACTCCTATGACATAGGTGAGTGTGTTGAAAAGATAATTTATCGGGGGAGGCTTTAGGCTATAAAACACTGCGAAGAATCAGACGAAAATGTGGAAAAAGCGGTTCCAGGTACCCAAAAGTAGAACGAGTAGAAACGAATTATTCTTCTAACTCATCTGACACAATGTTCGTAACAGTATCTGTTTATAATTTAATATTAACCCACGAAAACCGTTTCATACGGCAAAAGAAGAAGTTATTCAGGTCAGCGAGTTCCGTAATGTGTGTGAAGCGTGAATTATTACAATTCACTAAGGAGGTTATCTATCAAAGCCGTTTATTATATCGAAATACGGACACTTGAAAATGAGTCGTCGTTTAAGTAACGAACATAAACTGTAAAACTATATGTTAGCCGAGACTCGAACCACCACGACCACCACCACCACCATTAGAGCTGTCGTGCGTTCGTGAAACTACTCCGGGCAATTCTGACGCAATATAACACGAAGTTGGCACGTGGAGTGCGGATTCAAGTCCCGCTGTGGATAATTTTTCTTCGTACTAAAATACTTTTTCAAACATGTCAACGTTTAAATATAGGTCTAGTAATGCTATACGCGTCCCTAGGTTCGAATCCTGATAGGGCTGTGTAACGGACACAGGAATGTGTTCGCCCCATGGCCCATAGAGGGAAACGGGAATAAACTTATTATATACGCCTTGTATAAACTCACCCATAATACCTCTGAAATCAAAACAAAGGCAGAGAATAACGAAGCAACGAGAATTATACACCGGAAACTGTACAAACGCGCAAACGCGCCGTTCAACTACTTGCAATTGCGAAATAACGCCGCGTAACGGTCGATAGCGGGGTGTAGCGGCCGTTATCGTTATCGCTGTTATCGGTGCCTCGTCGTGTTTCCGTATATAGAAAGGAGAATTTTTTATATAACGCGAATTTATGTTTTCCTGGTACAAATGGCTACATGAAAAATACATTTACGTGTGTATTGAATAAAATCAAGGAGATTCTTTGTTACAAAATTCACCTTCTAATTGGAAAACTTATAAGAAATAAGGTTCAACGCAATATATATAAAAACAAGTGACGGGCTCGTTGGTCTAACGGTAGCAACGTGTGGCTAATGATCAACGGGACGTGAATTCGAACCCCACGAGGTCCAACTAATTTTTTGTTATCTAATTTTTCAATTTATAATTCGTCTGAAAGCGGTAGGAATATTAAGATGCCGTCCGAGTCACGAATCACCGCCCACATATGAAAAAGCCATGAAGCTTAATCGCGTTTCGGTTTCTGTCTGTGGATTTCCGAATATCCGAACCCAAAATGGGTCGACAACGCATCCTGTTTAGATGCTATAGGCTGGAGTCACCTACCTTCAAATGAAACCAATGCCATGTCTTTCCTCTGTCGTTAAGAAAAAAAAACTGTAATTATATCAATTATCACTTTCAATTAAAAATTCTTCACTCACCAAACACACCGGCGAAAACCACCGCGTAACGAAAACTAACGACTGTAATAACGACGCGTCTTCAAGGTTCCGATATTTAAACGAACATGCAAAAAGACCTCGGGTCGTTCATACTGGATTCCTTGAAAACGGACGCGACGCTGAAACGCGCAAGTTCAAGGCGAAAGCAACCTTAATACCGGGTAGTAGAGTCCTTTCCGCGCTCACCTTACGGAATTGCGTCATAGTTATTTTCGTTAGTAACGGCGAGGCGTGATGGATTCGTTATACGAATTACGTGGAAGGTTTTATGTTCGTGGAATTGAATCTTTTGCCGTGTATGTAAATATTTTTAATTAATTTTAATGCATATCATGTAAAGGGTTTTTTTACATCTTTATATATTAAATACAACGGTTTAAAACGCGAAATATATTAGTTAACTTATTAATAGTTAAACTGCGACCTGACGTTTCGGATGCTTAGCAACAGTCGCGGTCACGACGCGTCGGGCCGTAGATAAAATAAATTGTAAATAATTAACTAATAAATTTCGCGTTTTAAACCTTTTGAAAATGTTTAACTTTAATGTCTTCTACTCGCATAAATTGCAGGCAATATTTAACTTGTTTACAATTCAAAGTCATAATATATAACATTAGTTAATTTTCCATAACTATCGGAAAAGTATTTTATAAAAAAATGTATTTGAGAAGGTAAAGTGACTGTCCGTACTAATAAGAGAAAATTAAAAAATATTCTGTTCTCGTTTGTTAAATTCGACTAGCTTAAAAAACGACTAGTGAAAAAATCCAAAAAGGTCTGCCTCAGCCCCATTAGATTGTACAGGAGACTATTCAGCCACGTTTCAGCTATCAAACGCATTTATAAACTTAAATATTTTAGAAAGATGTAATTTTAAAATTACCTCTTTTTATTACAAAGATGTGTGCTTTATCAAAATCCAAATATAGGTCTATAGCAACGTCTAAAATGCTATAAAATAACAATGATGTATTTGACAAGTTCAACGAACGGTAGAAGGACAGACAGACAACTTTTTGCGCGTCTTGCGATTTTATTTGACGATTCAGTTTTTTCTGTGTACACGCTGTGTTTGCTCGTCTAGATACCGCTGCATAACAAACACGGGTTAAATAACTTTAATATTGACTTTCAATCCAATCACGTTTGTAATAATTTTTACGATAACTCGTTTGATTACACGTGTGAAGTATTTGAGCTGCCAAGTTTATTAGCTTTTCGGTTGGTGTCTGTGGATTTTCGAATCTTCTAAGGCAAAATAGGACGATAGCGCATCTTGTTAAGATGCTAAATGGCTAAGTTATTTCACCTACCACCATGACCATGACGCGTGCGCTGCACGCTTGTCTATCCTCTACTTTCATACAAAAAGTAATTTTTCTCACTAACATTAAAATAGTTATAATCTGTGGTATAAAAAAAACGCTTTAAAACGCGAAATATAAAAATTAATTTATCCACAAGCACGGCTGCTGTACCTACTAAAAACAAGTGAAACTTCGGGTCATAGTTATAAATAAATTAACTAATACGTAAAGTATTGTTTGTAGTTTATTCGAGTACATACACTTGAGTTGAGTTCATCTTAGTAAAACAATTCATTTTAACCACGGTCCGTCATTTCGGATGTAATGCAGCAGTGCCAGGCTGGTAAATTGAGAATGTATTTTGGTCACGAATGAAAAACTACTGGATTAAAATAAAATAGGGAAGATCTTTTTATCACTATCCCTGGTTTGTGTAGAATTTAGTTTTAACAGATAAATATGTAAAACTCGTTTGTAAAAAAAAATAATATTATAACAACTAACTAACGAAGAAGTAATAAATAACTACAAGCCCTAGATCTGTGTGGCGTAACCTTTGAGGCGACTCACAAATTAACAATACATAATAAAAACATAATCTTTGATAAGCCTTTTATTTTATACGTAAAGTTAAATGGACAAAGGCGTGACTAGGAGCCATTGAGACCTGGTCATTTAATGACGAGGTAAGTACGAAACATAACTACTTACGTAGAACAAATTCCTATCATATTTTTACCTACTAGTGTATTTGGAATTAAAGCCGCTTAATTTCGTGTAAATTTTTTTTCTCGGCAAACCACAGATACAGACACGCCAGAGAGTGTTTTTTTTTCACTAGTAAACGCGTATATTTATTGCTCAATGTCCTAGGTTTGAATTCCAGGGCAATAAATAATACATATATGACGATCCTTCTCTGCAAAGTTTAATATATAAAGGACATAAAAAATTGGTAAATATAGAAGAAAATTTACAAAATTATAAAAATAAAAAGGGGAATTAACCATGACTTAAGATCTGATTTGGGACGTGGGCAATGGGGTCAGAGATTTCAGTTCATTTTTCAATCGATAATTTGTTAAATAATTTGCACAAGTCCGACTACGGGTCAATGACCTTAAAACGTTTCTAATAAAAGTGGCAACACCGAGTATCTACTAGTGATTACTATCCATTTTATGGCAATTAATTAGCAATGTAAAGCCATCATTAATGAGATTTATAACGGCCTTCAAAACGTAGACCAACATTTACATAAGCCTTTTCAAAATTAATTAAAACTGTATTAGATGTGACGTAAGCTAAAATTATCTTTTGCGGAAGTGTTAAGTACAATTGTTACGAATACGTGGATTAGGAACGAGAGGACTTTTTTATATTAAGTATGTGTATGTTATATATTATACAGGTTTGTATATTCACATTAAAATTTTGTACATATCATCAAACGCGGGAGCTAGGTAAATTAAATTATTTGGTAATTAAATTTAAAAATAAATTAAATAATATTAATCAAACTAATATATCAAACTGAAAAGTTTGTTTGTTTGAACGTGCTAATCTCAGAAACTACTGGTTCGGACTGAAATAATATTTTTGTGTTGGTTAGAACATTTATCGAGGAAGGTTATAGGCTATAAAACATCGCAGTGTGACTAATAGGATCGAAGTAACAGCAGGAAATGTAAAAAAACGGGGGAAATTATTTATGCTTGTGTGTTTCAGTTGTGTACGCTGCGAAGACGGTTCAAGATACACGATCGACGGGCCACGGATGAAGTTAACTTTATAGAGTTGAAGAGGAGCTTTGCAAAAACAAACTCGACTCCCAAAGTAGCTATTCGACGCGGACGAAGTCGCTGACTCAGCTATTTAAAACATATTTCTGATTGTTGTATGTACGTCAAAACAATTTAAGTTTTTTTTTTATTGAAACTTAACTTGCAAAACTACTTTTCTCAAATTATGAATGTAAAAAGGAACAAGAACTGACGAGTTTTTGCAAAAAACTTGACTTTAATATCTAACTTCCAGTGTAACCCACATAAGTGTACCTACTTTTACATTATATATCTTTGAATCTTTATTTGTTTATTTCACTTCTGTAAAAATCTTAGTACTTTTTTGTCCCCAAATCCGGACATTTACCCAATTCTCTTATCCCTTTACAACCTTATCGATACTATTGTTTTTTGTTCTACCGCATAGCACGAGTTGTAAAGCGTCAAACAAGTAGTCTATTTGGTTAATTTTGTAACGAACGGGCTTCTTCACCTGACGTAATACCAACGAGATATCTAAAATAACGCCGCGCCAAGGCCACGCAAGATAACAAGTGCATATTTCAAACCTACTTTAGTGCTCTGTGTTTATCGCACGATGAATGTCAATATGCGAACGATTACAAGTGCACAGAGTAGCGCGGCTTAACTATGTCAAAGTGTTAAGATATACTTAGTTATAAATGAGGCCGCTAGAGGCAGAGTAGCCTAACTACAATTTCTATGAGTCATTCACATTTTTATAGTGTAGAAATGGTAATCTACAAGAGAGCACAGTGGCCACTTAGGCCACTCTGCCTCTAGCAGCCTCATATACAATCTCGTTCATCATGCAGAAACATGTTACTATTTGGGGACTGTCTGGAATTCTAGTTTTAGAGCCATAGAAAATTTCATCAAACTCGGTCAAGCCGTTGTAGCGGGAATGGGTAACAAACACCCACAAACTTTTGCGTATACACACTTACCGAGAAAATCCTTAGTTTAACGTGAAAACACCTTTTAACAGCGATATATCACCTATTTTAATGTCACAACGTTAATTAAATAGAACTGTGTGCGCGAACGCATCGAAAACACGGAATGTACTGAGGCGATAAGCGTCGTTAACAATAACGTCGTTA